TTATTTATTTATATATATATATATATATATATATATATATACTGTGTGTTTAAGTATAAAACAATTTTAATAGTAATAATAGTTATTTTCAAAATGTCACTTTGCTACAACACTAATTACATTAGGATTAAAGTACGCTATTAAGAATAGTTGTACTGTAGCTATTAAAAACTTTTTTTTCGTGGATTTCCCGTTTGTTCGTAGATGCATTAAACTACAGACGATTTAATTTTTTTTTCAAATATTTTAAAAATAAAGTCCACGTGCTTATTTTGTTTATAAAATTCTTTTAAAATGTGCTCTTATAAATGTGAGGATTTTAAAATAAGCGGTAATTGGAAGTGAAAAAATAAATAGTTGTGTATTAAAAGGCAAAATTCGTGGGAAAGAAGTACTAATTTGTTTAGGAGAAACCAATAAAATAGCCATGCTTTTATTAACGCCAACGGTACTCAATTTTTATTTAAGAATTAGATGCATATAAAATAAAAACAGCAGCAAATAAGCTATGTAGTAAGAGCAAAATTTATAGAGTAAAAGTATATATTCGATGATACCAATGATGTTTCGATACCATTGATTTTTGATTAACATTGGTAATAATTATTAGAATTAATAGAAATAATAATTAAAATTAAACATATACTTGAAATGAAGATAATGAATAAAAGATACTAAAGGGAACCGTTGAAAATCGCCGTACGTAGGTGACGTTTAATTAATTTTGGTAATACGTACTACTGTTTGTAGTGTTGTTCAGATTTATTGATTATTAATTTTTATTCACCCCATACGAAGAACGGGTATTGAGCTAATATAAAGTATTTTTGTATTCACATTAGGCTAACAACTTAATAATTTTTTAATAAACAATTACATCTACTTTAATACTATTTCAAATGAGAAAAATAAAGTATATATTTTTCAATAAATGCTTCTCGAAATTCACCTTCTGAGTTGAAATATTTACTTTGTTTATAAGTCAAATAGTGTTTATTTGCTTTCTCTCTCTTTTTTCTTTTTCCGAAGTTGCATTGCGTTGTAAACATACCATTTTATCTTTCACAGAAATAAAGAAATAATCCCCCATTAAATGTTATGATTTAATGGGGGATTTTTACATTAAATGTTCGGTTTTGTTCGTTTAATTTTCTTCTCTTACAATTTGTCCTGATGAAGAAAAAGCGAATACTTTCTATAGATACAATAAAACCTTATGTTAGTAAAGGATTAGAATTAGTAAAGCAATTAAATTTTCACTATGGTTGATAGCGGTACGAGACGAGTTAGTTACAAGCATGCACAGATAGCAACAAACTCTGCAACACACAGGGGAATGCTAAGCTGTTCGGGGAAGAGGGAGTAAAGTAGGTACTGTTTATGTTTCAAAACAGCCACCGTCCTGATGCCTGGTGAATGATGGTGTACTAAAATGCCTGGTGAATGATGGTGTACCCATGGCCAAAAATAAAAATTTCTATTGTTGGACGTTGACAAAGTGAAAAGTGCGTCATAATGGCAATAATTTCAGACCATGAAAGACTGTAATTTTTAAATTTTTGTAATCTATGTAATAAAATATTAATTAATATATGAGCTAGAGGATCCCGCAGTGGACTGATCGTTAAGACACGGTTCCCGTGCGGGTGGGTGGCCACTTGGATCAGTCTACGAAGGGATCGAGGGTGTGCGGTATTAGTCCTTGTTAAACTGTTCTACCATAAAGTGCTCGACTTCGCGCGCAGGTCGTCGGGCTTCCAAAGCGTGGGTGCCATCCCCTCCGCAGAGGATCAAAATTGTGATGGCATGTCTTCTGATCATCCTCAGGGACGTTTCCCAGAGCGTCGCCAATAGCCCATTGTGCAGCTCTAGTGCGACGAAAATAAAATTACAACTATATGAGCTAGAGGCCGTAGATTCCCACCTCTGTTATTATATCCTAGGTTCCCAATGTAGGCGCATTATTCCTAGAGCAGCAGTTCTAAAACGGAACCCTAGAGTTCTGTTTAAAAGTTAAAGGGGTTCCGTGAGTTAGTGCTTTTTAAAACCAGTTATGAGTTTTGAAACATCCGATTATATCTATCCAACCTATAATTCATCATTTAATTTTTCCGTTGCCTTTATGAAGTTAATTTAAAGTAAAATGCCAATAAAATAGAAATGGCATTTTCTTTTATACTTCTAATCGAAATATATTAAACAAATTATTTATAAAATATCGCATTAGTATTTCCTATCACACTTTTCAAATCAAAATAACTCAATTCTTTAATAAAGAAATATGTTTTCTTAATAACCATTTTCAACGTTTATAGCAGTTCTTTTAAGTTTTCATCTCAAAGTAAACCATAATTATATTTATTGTGTTCATTTTCAGGTTGTGCATATGCACCAGAAACAAAACTAGACTTAGATATAGCACAAGGACTGCAAATTTATCTGTCGGACTTAAAACCTAATTTAAGATTATTAATGATTAAAAACTTCTTTATTCCTCCAATTTTACAATATTACAAAAAGGGGGGGCTTTTGCAGGTTATAACATTCTCAATTACTTTAATAAGCTTTATTTATACATTTGGGGATCCGCGAGAAAATGTTAGTTATTTAGGGTTCCGTAGCTTTAAAAATTGAGAACCGCTGGTCTAGAGATATTCGTTAACAAACTGTAGAGACAATTAATATTAAGTTAATAGTAAAATTTTAAATTATTTTGCTTGATTTCAAAGAATTATTTATATTTCACTCAACAGTATTCGTTTAGAAGTTGACGCGAATAAAATTCTTTGCCCCTGAAGAAGGGGATAAAAGAAACGAAACTCTTTTTGTCATTGAAAATAAAATACTCTATTAACCACTTCAGCATGTTGACCTTCAACTTCGTCATGATCTTCCTGTGAATATACGAATGACTTCTGCGACTTTCCTATAATTTTCGCCGTTAAGGCTAATATAATAAACGTGTAATTTTTTTTCTCCATCAGAAAATCAGAAATTTTTTATTGAGAACTTTAAAGTATTTAAATTTATTCACATTTCTATCACTTTCAGCTCGTTTTATAAAAAAGTTATGAATATATTAAGTTAATTTGTTTGCCTAATTTCTGTGTTTTCTCATTTGTTTAATACCTCAAAGAGATATTATCATCAAATTATAATTATTTTTGAATTTCCTATAATTAACTAATTAAATATGATTCTCTTATTTGATGTTGAAATATGCGTGTTTAACTCAATATTAGCGGTACTACCAAACCACGGACGATGAATTACAGTTCGACCCATCTACACTCATATATATATATATATATATATATATTTGAAAGTTATATCTGATTGAATTATTTTTTAATCTTGCAGACATCTTCGAACTTTTTTTTATTACTTTATTTTGCAATTTTAAGGCAACCCAGCAAAGGCTTTAAGCTTTTTTTTTCAACTTCAACAAAGAAGATTGAGATTATATAGAATAAAAATGTCATGAGATAAATGTTTTCTTAGTTCTCCTTACAAGAAAGAATGCTAAGTCAAAAAAAGTCAAATTCTTACTAAAATTAAAAAAATAATTTTATTTAGAAAAAAATTAAATCTTCATATTTTTTAAAATTTCTTTAAAATATTTGATTAATTTTTTTAAAAATTATTTTTTAATGGAAATAGCTTTTTCTATTGAAAAAAAAATAAGTATTTTAAAGTTAGGAAAAATTTCCTCTATTTTCTTATTTATTTAAACTACAAAAGAAAAATAAGGATTTTCTACCAGAAAAAAATTCTAAATTAATTTTCTTTTTTAATAAGAAAAGAAAGAAAAAATATTTCGGTGCAGTAAAATTTAGCAATTTACTAATAAATTTACGTGACTTTTTTATTTATTCCAATTTTGAAGTGAATTAAAACATCTTTTATTAAAAAGAATTGAAGATTCCGATTTCAATCAAATAGTTTTTTTCCCCTAAGAATTTAAAACTGTCTTTAATTAGGAATAGAACTTGTTATTGAATCAGTTGCAAAGCAGAAGTCTAAACCATTGTGCTATCCATTCAAATCAATTGCACTTTTTTTAAATGTGCTACAACTTACGGTGTTGAGGATTTTTACCTTCTATGTTTTCAACCATGCGCTTAAATTTTAACTTGATTTCCATTTATTAGAAATTTTACAGATTCGTACTTTCTTTGTAAATATTGAAATATTAGGTTTGATGTGATTAAAACTTCAATTGTGAGCAATGAGGGAAATTCTAGTTTTAGCACAATAAAATTAAGAATTATGAACTAATTAGCGATTACAAAGACCGTACTCTGCGAAGAGAAGATAGGGACAATTTTTCTGGAGAGGTGAAATTCTTTTATGGAAAGTGTCTTTAAATTAAAAAATAAATAAATAATGTAGAACTTTGTATTCATATGTATATTTTTTATTTTATTTTCATAACATGTTTTATGTTTTGATATTTTTCATTAATGCTGCTTTTTTGGTGTAAAACTTGTTATATTTATTATTATTTGATTTATGTTTATGTTATTACTTTCTTCATGTATTTAATACGAAAATACTCTTCATTTGTAATAAAAATTATTTGGGTGAATTGCACAGCCGAATATATTACTGGTTCATCAGTTTTCTTTAATTCAAATTGTTGTGTTTTTTTATATTATATATTTCTATATTATATATTTCTGTATTATATATTTCTATACTATATCTATGTATATATTTTCTTTAAAGGCTTTCGGAAGAAAGGAACTATGAAAGACCTGGTCATTACTATGCTGACCGTGAGCCCTACTTGAGAAGGCCCCTTGGCATGGGATATCATGACGAAGATAATTATCAAGGTAGAGCAAAATCTAGAGATAGGTATCCCAGGTCTGCTTCCGGAAATAACTACACAGAAGGTACAGAAAGGTAAGATATATCTTTACTGTGGGACATTTATATGAATTTGAAATGCAAAGTAAAAATTTTACTATCTCATTAGTGAAACGTGTACGTGAATTGAATTTTTCTACTCTCTCATAACTACGATTATTGTTTAAAAAAATGTCCTTGGTTCAAGACTTCATTTATTCTGTAGTAATTGGTAAATGTCGTGCAGCATGAAGGCTACAAGACATGCACTAATTTAATATTGTCAAATGCTGAAATGAAATGGTAAATGCTGAATAAGATGTGGTAAACATTAAGCGTAAAATTATTGCACTTTTATAAAGTATGAATGTTATGCAATGCCTAAAAGTTAATTTGAATGCAGTTTTCTTTTAAAAAATAAGTGCTGAAATTTTATATTTTAATAGAATTTTGATATAAATAATTATATTTAAATTCAATGACAGTATTGAAAGTAAAGAAAATTGCACAATTCTAAATTGCATTTTATTATTCTATATCTTTTATTGTATTTTACATTTATAGTTACTTAAAAAATTGATGTTACACAATCTTGTTAAAATTCACCACAGTGATATTCAATTGTTTAATGTTTATACTTTCATCTATTGTTGTGGATTTTTTATAGTTCCATACAAAAATCATCCAAGTACTTTTTTTAGAGCACACATTTTTATCATTAAGTTTAAAAGAATATATTTATACTTCTACTAATTTATAGATAAACATTTTTTGAGTAATTATTTTTGAGTACAGTTTTTTAGGAACAAAGAGAAATCTAAAGGTGAAAAAATGATTGAACGATTAACAATGCTATTTCTTTTATTCTGTAAAACAAATGAATAATTTTTCTTATGCTTTACTGAATCAGTAAAAGATGGAGAGATTTATTCAAATAGAAATATTCTCTAAAGTTTAGGTGCACAACCTTTTTGAGTAAAGGAGCACTTGCGCAGAAGGTTGAATAAAGGTTGCAGAAGGAATAAAGTTTCCATGCAAATTTGTTGTTGCATGTTGTTGTTGCTTAAATGTGTTGACAACAAATATTATAATTTTTATAAAATCATGAGTGTTCTAAGCAGTATCAGTCAACTTAGTGATACATTTCCAAATATCTAAACGTTATTTTTCTTTCGCATGATACAAAAGTTAGCAATTTTTTATTGTTAAAATTTATTTTAGTAATGTTCACAGAATTTAAGTAAATAATAAATAAATATTTTATTGAGTTATATAAATTCAAATTAAATATTTTAATTAGAAAATTTATAAGGCTTAAAATGATTTAAAGTAAGATTAAAATAACAATATTTAGTTGTGAATATAGTTTAACTTAGGATATTTATATTTAATAAACAATTAGAGGTTTTATGATTATCAAATGGTAAACATTTTCTTTTTTATCCCCAAAAAATACTCTACTGGTTGCAAAAAATGAAACAAAATTACTGACTGGGAAAGGTTAAAAATTTGTGTATTCCCCAGCTTTTCGTATTTCGCGTGTAACGATAAGATGTAAGCTATTGAAATTCTTAAATTCATGTGCGAATGCATAACAACTGTTGAATAATGATAATAAAAACAACTTGAATTTTCGAAGAAATCGGTACAAATATAGCTTGCCAAAAAGTGATTATTTACACGTGTGAATTGAAAGTCATATTTAGTTATAATATTGTAGTAAAAACTATGATGGTTTTCAAAAGGAAAGAATGAAAAATCCCTCTTCACGATGAAATCAGTACAAATAAAGCACGCCAAAAAGTGATTATTTAAACGTTCGATTCGAAACCTGCTGGTCTTAATATCGTAATAAATGTATCAGGATTTTAAAAACCGCATTGGAATCAGTAGTGTGAACTGCATACAAACGATCGAAATGTCGCTTGGATGTACGATGGTAACTTCAGAAAGTTAATACTCAATTCCATATTCGATCACCGTAATATCGTATTAAAAACAATTTGATATTTAAAAAAAGTTTTATTTTTAGGAGTAAAAACATAAAGCAGCTTTTCTTGTAGACTTCTTTTAATAATAATAATAATTTTTTTTTTAATTTTAGGAATCAAAATCATTTTCGTGCCCATAATGCCCGTCAACATTTTGAACAGCCAAGGTATCCTGTTGGTGATCAATATAATGAAGAACGTGATCCAGCAAGTACAACACCAAGGTTAAATAGAAGGACTAATAACACACCAGCTACACCTGTTGTAGCTTCTATAGCATCTCCAAATACAATAAGGACTGAAAATAGACTGAGAAGGACAAAACGGCGGTCTCCTTCTCGGACTCCTTCAGGATCTAGATCGAATTCAGGGTCTCGGTCTAGGTCGCGTAGTTCTAGTGGTAGTAGGTCATCTAGTTCCTCATCAAAGCTACGTAGTACTTCAAGTGATAGTAGTGGCAGATCACGATCCCCTTCCAAGTCTCGATCACCTGTGTAAGTAAAAGTGCAGTGTTAAAATTTGCAAAAAATCATAGCCAAAAAATTGGTGAATGCTTTGAATAATTGTGTTTTTGCAATTTTGTGCAATGTCAATATCTTAATTATATAAATGTTTATTGCTTACCATTTTTAGAAGTTTGTTTTATATTAAATGTATATAAATGATGTTTTTTGTCAATGTGTGTGAGTGTTGAAGATAACCTCAAAAGTAAAACTTAGAATATAGTAAACAGACAAATTACATGATAGAGAAAAATATCTCTCTCAAACAACCATACTTGGCACCGATCATTATAGAACTGCACATTTTTTAGAATAACAATATTATCAAAAGATAAATGTGATGGCAGTATCAGCTCTTGATTATGTAAATAATAATATTAAATGTGCAAACAATATATTCTAACATTACAAAAGAATTTTTTTGGTGTATACAGTTTGAATATAATATAATCACAGAAGTTTAAGAACAAAGTTTATCAAATTCTGACCTCCATTTGCATAAAGGCAATTCTTGTTTCTGAGCGGTTTACCAAATGTACTGAACATATTTAAAAGTTAAATGTTAAAAAAGCACTTCCTCTTGTTTTGCCAAATTTTACCTTTATGATTAGAGACGCAGCTGTGAGTAAGTGATAATTCTGTATACACAATACCAATTTGTTGAATGCGGCAGCTTAATCATTTGAATTATTTCTAGGAAATTTTAATGTACACATAGTTCATTTCATGTTATCATTCATTCATTTCCACTTCATTTTATGTGGAAAAATTTCATTAATTTGTATATTTAGTTTCATGTGTTAGGGTAACTTAATAATGGTTTCTTGCTTTTAAATATAAAATTAATTTCTTTGTTCTGTCAATTAAACCTTTTAAGTCATGTTGATCTTAGCTTCTTATTTGAAGTACATATTGTGAAACAATGAACAGCTACACAATAAAGTCGATAGTGTTTAGATAATTTGAATAAATAAATAAGTTTGCATGATTTGGAACACACTCTTTAGTCTGTACTGATTTACTATTTTTGTAGATTTTGTTAGTATTATGTTTAATGGAAACATATTTGTATATTAGTACTACAAATCTGACTTAGAACATAATTGATGTTCTAAATAATTTTTTAACTGATCAAAAGTATTTGTGACTTGTGATTGTTTCATAATTAGACCTTCAATTAATTTAAAAAAAACTGTTGTCAAATTTTTCATTTCAATTATAATAGTTCCAGAATGTGTTAAAAGAAGTTTATTAAAAGAGTTGAATGTAGTAAAATCTTGGTCATACAGTGTCAAAAATAATTGCACCTAAACCCACTCCAAAGAGTAGAAGCTCGTGATTAAATTGACCAAAAGATAAAGTGAAGTAATGATAAAAAAAAACTATTTTAGATTTTGGAATAAATATGGCTTAAAAAAGGAGGTGGGAAGTGGAATTTGCATTTTTGCATTATTATTTAAAACATAAACTTTTGGAAATTAACCGAATGCTGAGGAGTATTGGCCAAATGGCAGATGGATTGAAATAAAAATGCAGTTAATAAAATGAAGTAAAAAAGAAAGGAAAAAAAAAATTATGTTTAAATTTTTTGATGATCAAAGTTCCACTGTACTCTAGATATTAACAATGTTTACAAGCACTTGAATTATTTTTAATGTATGTGTTTTTTAAATTTGTTTGTATTTTCTTTTACTAATTCTTTGTTTATTTATATATATAATNGTTTATATATATATATATATATATATATATAAAGCTCCATTCATCTTAAAAATGAAATTTTAGTAACTGCAACAGTTACAAATTTCTTCAAATGAAGGAAAAAGTTTTTGAGATTCAATTTACATTTTAATTGAATTTTAAATTTTTTTTTTATATCAAGCAGCAATCTTTTAATATTATGTGGTTTCTATTTTTATAAAATGTGTTTATTCTAGAGATATTATTTTATTAATTTCATCGATACAGTTACATAATTTTTTTTCCCTAAATTTTCAGAACACCTCTTTTATATTTCTATATTTATTAAAACTTTTAATTGTGAAAAAATATACTTTTGTTTCATTATTTTTTATTGTGTAATTATATTTTCTTGTTATCTTATTATAAAATTTCTAGCACTTCAGTTATTTAATTTGTATTGAAATTGAGGATGCACCAATTTTGCAAAATATCTAGCCATAAAATATTTAAATTCATTACTTACTATCAGTATTTTTTCCTCAAAAAAAATTTCAAAAATTTTGGAAATCAGATTTAATATGTTTTAATTAATATTGAGCATAAATAGTCTATCTATAAAATTTGCGTCAGATAATTTTTCCTTTTGGATGATAATAGTTTATTTATTAAACTTAATTTTTTGTATAAAAAGTGAATAAAAATAGTGATTTCTTTGAAGTTCAGACTAAAGTTATTTATTTTTTCTAATTGTGATGAGTTTGGAAATATAAAACTGTTTTAAAACAATTCATTATGTATTTAAAATCATTTTCTTGTTTTAAAATGTCTTAATCCTGTGTGTGTGTGTTTTTTTTTTCTTTTTTTTAACTATAGTATTAATAATTTTCATTTTCGTAATATCACTTTTTATTTATTTATTCATTTTTCTTTAATAGAAATAAATTCTTATTATATAACCAGCTGAATACCCAAATTTTTTAGCTTTGTTAAATAATTTGAGATGCAGCTTTTCAACTTAACTAAATATTTCGGTAGAGGGGGAAAATATCAAAGAAGAAATTTAATCCTTAATCAATATTTAATCAAGTAATAAAATCTGATGCATCCTTAATTAAGATAATGATTAAATACTTTACTGTTGAGACTTTCTTTGTATGGATTAAGGGTAAAATTGTAAGAACAGGTTTAACACTGCTATGAAAATCAAGAATATAATAACTAAAGATACTAATTTTGAGTATTAAGGTTGTGCAAGTATTAAGTTATAGGATTCATATTTTTTAATATTCATATTATTTAATAATATTTAATTATTCAATATTTTTTAATTTACAGTGTTAAAAATTTTTTTTTTAAAAAATTGACTATTCTGAATAACTTTTGATCTAATGATCAAATCTTCACCTTCTAGAACTCGAATCTTCATGGTTTGAGAAGGTGACTTAAAATATGCTAATCAATAAATACAGAAGATATTTTAAGTTATGAAATCTGACACAGAAGCGCACTTTCTCTGAATAAACATGCCCTTTTTTAAACGGATTCGGATTTCTAACTTTAAAAATATGTTCTCAATAGTTGGATCAAAAGAGCGCTCCAAAGTTTGAACCCCTTAATGTTAATTTTACTTTTTGTGTACTTGGCTATATCTCTAGAGCTTTTTAATATAATTGAAAAATTTTTGCACACAGTTATAAAATTCGTTTATCCAAAGATAATTTTATGTAAAAAATAACTTTTAGTAAATATTTATTATTTGTTATTATTTTATTTAAGAATAATCAGACAAATTTTGAATTATAAGGTATGCAATTTTTTACATCATTTTAAAGAGTATAATTTTACATGGCAAGATACAAAATTTTAGCAAAATTGCTTGAATAGTTGCTGAGAAATTGAATATACAGATTGATAAATATTTTCCAAAATTTATTTTTTGCATGAAATTATTTTTGGATAAAGTAATTTTATAATTATGTGCAAGGATTTTTTTAATTCACTTAAAAAGTTCTTGGGATATGGCGACATATGCAAAATGTAAAATTGACATTAAGAGGTCCAAACTTTGAATTGCTCTCCTGACCAAACTATGGGTATCAGATTGCCGCTATCCCATATATTTTGGTGGTCAAAAATCCTAATGCCTTGAAAAAAAGGTATGTTTATTCCGAGAAAGTACATTTTTGTGTCGTTATATTTTTGGATGTTTTTATTTGTATATTTTTGGATATGCAATATATTAAAAGGAATAATTTTAAGCTGTTACGCTATGCTTTTTTATTAGATATTTTTTTGTGATGGATTTTTTATTCTTTGTTCTTACCTAATTCACATGTAGAAATTTCTTTAGTTTTAAAAAAAATTAATTTTAAATCACAAAGACTGTTAAAAAATTTGACATTATTTGAAAATATTCTCACGTGCATTTAGTTTTAAGCTCGGTTAAGTTTTTTTTTTTTTTTTTTTAAATTTTTTGTAGTAGTATTGGAATTTATGCTTAAAAAATATTCTTATCCCTGATATCTTTCAGCAAGTAATTAGCATTTATTTGTTTATTGTTTTCAAAAATAACATTTCTATACATAATTAATGTTAATAAATTTTATGTTAAATTTGTAGGACTGCTGCTTATGGAAGTCAGAGTAATCTAAAGGGTAGTCGGCTGGATAGGCCGTCAAGTGCCATTGCCAATCCCTCCAGCTCTGTAAATTATATACCCTCAACTGTAAATACTTCTGTAAACTGTATATCAAACAATTCCCAAGGGTCCACTCCATCCCAAAATTGTATAGCAACTATTGTTGAAAACAACTCTGAGAAAGATGATAAAAGGCCGTTAGGTATATGTGTAAGAAATTTACCAGTTCGATCCACAGGTAAATATTTTCCTAGCATAATATTTCACTAACCTTCTTTAAATTATTATTAGTTCTAAAGAGTAATTTTGATATTCCCCCCAGGAAAAGCTACAGATTTGAGTTCTTCGAACCCAATACTTTTTAACTGCGAAAGATTTACTAACACTAAATGTACCGAAAAATCATCAATAATTGTATGTTCGTTGCAAATTTTGTTTTATTGTTAATTAAATCACATTGTTACTTTATTTTAATGTGGCTGTTTAAAATAGCTTCACTAGAAGTTATTTTAGTTAAATAGTTGTGTTTATTAGGGCTTTAAATGATGTTTTCTATGAAACAAAATTATAAAAATCCTTACCATAAGTGTATTATTCAAATAATTTTTTACCTGAAATTAAAAGTTAACATAAAAAATTAAAAAATTATAAATTTAAGGAAATTCTAAATTTAAATAAATGATTTCTTAGTTTTCCCTAGTAATACAAATTGTTTTCAACATTTGTAACAAAAGTAATATTTACCAAAGAAAACTAGATTCAAACTTAAATTTTAGTATTTCGTATAGGTTGATGACTAATAAAATCCATTACATGCTTAAGATTACATAAAGCTGTGAATGCTGCACCAATCATATTTATTTTTTATTGATAATGTATTTTAAAATTTTTTTTACAAACTCTCTTGCTGAAATAGATATTGTCATACAAGATCGAAATTGTTTTTAAAAATACGTTAAAAATATCCTCTTTAATGTTAAGAATTAGAACTCTTTCAGTGTGTACGTCAACTTCTTAAGTGTTTCTTTAAATGTGCATTAAAAAATCTGCTTAGTAAATTTGAATTTTGTTTATTTTCAATTTCAGACACAAGTTTGAAAGATGGCTTATTTCATGAATATAAAAAGCATGGAAAAGTAACCATGGTGAAAGTCATAGGTCAAGGGTTAGACCGCTATGCTGTGGTTTGCTTTAAAAAGTTAGTATTGATGTCTTTGAAATTTTATAATAAAATAATTATAAGAGAGCAAGCAGTATTTAAAATTTGAAATTGAAGTATTAATCTTTGTGTAATTGAATGTATAAAATCTTATCAAGCATTAGCTATTTTTTTTATATTTTAATATCTGTCTTAAAGATCTTTTTTTCCATTATTAAAGAAATAAGTTATAAAAATTGTTTGACTTTTGTTTATCAAATGTACAGAGAGCCCCCACCCCCCCAAAAAAGACCATCCCTAATAACTTTTGATCAAATGATCGGATCTTCATGTTCTAGGACTCCATCTTAATGACTCGAGGCGAAGACCTCAAATATGCTTATTAATAAATGCAGACGATATTTTAGTTACCAAATCAGACACAAAAGTATACTTTCTCTAAATAAACATCCCTTTTTTTCGACAGATTCGGATTTCTGACTACCAAATCATAAGGGCTAGCCTCAATCTGCGAAATATGGTCCCCATAATTTGGGCACAAGAGTTTGGACCTCCTTTTGTTAATTTTATTCTTTGTGTATTTCATTTCGCTATATCTCGAGAACTTTTAAATTGAATTGAAAAATCTTAGCACACATTTATAAAATTCGTTTATCCAAAGATAATTCCATGCAAAAAATAAAATTTAGTAAATATTTTACATTTTTTATTACTTTATTTAGTATCAGTCTTAAACTTTTGAATTGTGAGGTATATAAATTTTTACATAATTTTAAAGTATTTTATTTTGCTATGTGAAATAAGATACTTTGAAGTGATGTAAAAAATTTTATACCTGACAATTAAACATTTTCTCGACTTTTGCTAAATAAAACAATAATTTTGGATTGCTCTCCTGCCCAAACTATGGGACCATATTTCCCAGATTGCTGCTACCCCCTATATTTTTAGGCTCTAAAACCCGAATCTCTCGAACAAAAAAAAAGGTATGTTTATTAAGAGAAATTATGTTTTCGTGTTTGATTTCTAAACTTAAAATTTAGTCTGCACTTATTAATTAGCATATTTAACGAATTGTACTATTAAGATATTTTGAAAACCCCAAAATAAAAATGACTACAGGGAAATGAACACAACTTTTATTTAATACAGACTGAGCAAAAATATAGCAAATATGAGAAAGAAAATGATTGGCACAGCGCCATCTATTGACATTAATTTAAACATAACTTTTAGACACTATTTAACAATATTTGAGGTTACCTCTTAGAATCATTAAGATTGAATCCTAGAACGTGAAGATCTGATCATTAGATCAGAAGTTATTCATGGTGATCCGTTTTGGTCCAAGTAATTTTTTCTCCCAAATTTTTTCATGGTTAGTCTGTATTTTTTCTATCTTTTAGTTTATATGGTTTTAAAAAGTATATAGACTCTTAACTGAATATATTTTTTTTATCATAGGATAAAAGCAAGAGAGTAGCTACCTGAATAGATTCTTTTTTAAACTCTTAATTTATTTATTTAATTTTTTGTTTTAATTGTCCTGATGTTTTTCTGTTGGCCTTTTGTGTTTTCAAGTATGAATTATACTATAATCAAACACGAAGATTACTTTGATATGTTCTTTAATTGACGAAATCAGCTAACCCATTTAGAGCAATAAATTTAAGCAAATTTAAAATCGTGAAGCAATGAAAATTTAGCAAATATTATAAACTTCACACTTCTTCCTTATATCTTTTACCATTTTTATATTACTTTATCATTTTATAGTTCTACCTTTATTGTTAAGGAAAGTCAGATGTTCTTTTTCAGCCCAAATATTTCCAGAAAATAGTGAATCTGTTACATTTGAAAAAATTAAAAAAAATTGCAGCATTTTCTTAATTATATGTATATATTTATGTAAAATTAATTATGAATTATGAGATAAATTATGGCATAAACTTCTTAAATTTTGATTTTGAAAATTAATTTTTTTTTAAAAATTTAAAATAAGTTTGCATTCAAGTGTATATTGTAGCAAAATGAACTAAATAAATTTTTAAAAAAATAGGTTTCGCATTTTCTGAGTAAAGGTACTTCAAAATCACTATTTCAACACTGACTGTAATTGAACATTCTATTCTCTTTAAAAGTAGAAAGGCTGCACGTCACAACAAAAACTTGGTTTATTAAATTCTTATTTGTTTCTACTACCTGCTGGTAGATGTAGGTAAACCAATAATTCAGATAATGTGAACTAATAACTTATCTGTTTTTACAGACCTGAAGATGTTGATAAAGCATTAGAAGTTTCAAAAGACAAACTATTCTTTGGTTGTAAAATAGAGGTTACTGCTCATGAAGGCTTGGATGCAGAAGATAATGAGTTCAGGCCTTTAGAAGCTGAATTAGACGAATTCCACCCAAAAGCAACAAGAACGCTTTTCATTGGGAATTTGGAAAAAGATATTACAACACCTGAATTACGGAAACACTTTGATCAATTTGGTGAAATTATAGTAAGTAGATTTTTTTTTATGATTATTCATTCCTGTCTTTAATTTTAACTTACAGTAAAAGGGAAGCATATTTAAACTTTTTATATTTAATAATAATTCTTAAAGTTTCAAGTAGCATTGGTATTTAACTTTCCAATTTTCATTATTCAATGTTTTGTGTACTTTCTATAAAAATTATTTTGAAATAAAGATGGATGTTATCTTATATGTTTATAATTGAATATGGATTTTCTAATGGAATCTTCTAATTCTTAAACTTGTTTTTTGAAGAATTGGAAAGTACTGGATACTAATTAAAATGAAATAAACAACTGATTTGTTTCATAGATCTGATTTTGTAAATAAATGAATGGTTTATTTATTTTATATCACAAAACATGTTTATTAAAAAAAAATCTATTTTTCTAACTAAACAGTATTTCAGCTTTAGGCAAGGCAAATTTGAGAGAAACCATGTTATCTGGATGAAATTCACTACGTGAAGTGTAACTTTTTATGTGCACCTTTAAAGAATGAAACTACATATGAATAATTTATTTCAGAAAGAGCCCATGTCTGATTTTTAAGAATTTAAAAGACACACATAACTGTTTTTACCATACAAAATAAGAGTTGCATTAATGCTAAATTTCAAGAATAATCAAGAATAAAGGCTAAATTTCAATGCTTGTAGAGAATGCTTCTTGAAACTAACTTTCAGCTTTTTACATTGCCTTCACTTTCTTTGATACAATCAGTCAGCTTTATGTGTTGGTTTTAAGTTGTTTAACAGTCTAGTTTCTTGCCATTTAAAAAACATTTTTTGGAAATAAACCATTCATCTATCAATGAATTAGCTTAGGAATAAAATTGTTTGTGTAGTTTATTAAAATTTATGAATTTGTGCTGTAAAAAATATATTTTGCATTGTTTCATAATTATTATAACTAATAATGAAATTACTTACTTTTTGCAGGAAATAGACATAAAAAAGCAAGGATCTGCTTCATCTTATGCATTTATACAATATTCAGACATTGCCAGTGTTGTTAAAGCCATGCGTAAATTAGATGGTGAGAATCTTGGTGCTAATAGAATAAAACTAGGTTTCGGAAAAAGTATGCCTACGAACTGTGTGTGGCTTGATGGCATTGTTGAGTCTGTATCAGACAAATTTCTAGCTCGTCATTTTAGTCGGTTTGGCATTGTTGTTTATACAGTGATCGATAGAGAAAAAGGCCATGCTCTTGTTTTTTATGAGAATGTAGAATTCGCACAAATTGCTGTTTCTGAAATGAGAGGAAGAATTCTACAAGGGAAAAAGCTTCAAGTATGTTAAATAATTTTTTCTTATTCTCAATTTTTAGCTATGATCTAGACTAGGTTTTTATTGAATTGTGTAATCTTCTGTAACATGTAACTCAATTTAGAATTCAATGTTAGTTTTGATTATGTTATATGCTTACATTTACTAAGAGGGAAATTTTTTTTCATGTATAATTTTTTTTTACAGACTATTACCTTTTTTATTGAATACTTAATGCAAATTATGAATTGGGTATTGTCAATTTGTCATCAGATCTTTTTTTTTGGTTCATACAATTTCTGCGACATCCGTTAAGGATATAGGAAAATAATAATAAATTTTATTCATTTATGTGCTTGTTTAAAAGAAAAATTCTCATTCATGCTTTGTGACAATTTGTAGGAAAATATGTTAAATTTTTATTATAAGTTTTGAGTATGAATTTGAGTTTTGTGACAAAGATATTTTGCATTTTCTAAGCATGTTGCCCTTGATAAGTCTTGTAAGCATCTTCTACCTTAATGTATTATGGGTAAAGAGTTTATGTTGACTGGCTTGGTACTTATGGACATTGTTTAGCCCTGCTAACTTTGGGGATAAGGAAGAAGAGCAATTTTTTGAATTCATGCATTTTTCAAGATGTGAGAATTTATCACATTTTGTAAATGATTTATAGAGTGTGAAAACTTCTCATTTTAGTAACTTTTGACTGCAACTAAAGTAATAAATATTCTTTTTGCACTTGCACTACCAAGAAAATAAATAAAAAGGTGAATGAAAATATTTTAAGTTAACCCTTTGGACCTGACTTTTACAGCATTAAAATTTAAGTATGAAAAGCAGTTTATGTTAATGCTGACATATTAAAATAAGTATACTATGAGTTTAAAGTTTTCCACTTTTCCTGGAAATGTCCTGGGACAATATGTCCCAATTGTGTTTAATATTGTAAAAATACCTACATAATTAAAATAACATAAATGCATCGAATTATTTATTTTTAGCAGAAGTTATAGAAACCAGAAGTTGCTGTTATAAAGTAATCAAAACAAAAACTAAAATTTTGTGTTATAATATTTTTTATCACTAATGAGATATATTTCTCCACTGGTAAGTATGATTGGAATATGTTGTCCTAATGGTAAGTAAGATTGGGACAATATATCCAAAATGTGTCAAAATTTCTCTTAAATAGTACAATTATTACTTAATAAGTAAAAATATAGCTGTACTTACCTCAAAATTCAGAAAGTTTGAGAATTGAAATGAAATTAACTGGCTTTCTCTCAAACAGAATTCCTCTATTTTCAATATCAGAGTGTTGCAAAGTTTCTTAAGTCATATTTTTATTCCCTAATACCTAAACAACTCTGGAAACAAAAAATTTATCCAGTAGGGAATTAATTTTTATCTTTGGGTTGTATATATCACATTTGTTTCAAAGGGGTTAAAAATTTGTCATCTATACAATTTTGGGGTTTTTCATTGATAACTTGGTGATAATTCTTGCTAGGTTGGGAAAACTGAAATAAATTTATTATTACTGAAATAAATTCACATAGTGTGCAAAATAAAAACCCCTCAAAAACTTTAAATCTAAAAATTGGATTTTTATATATTAATATGCAATCTTAATGATAAGAAGTACTAACTTTAAATAAGCTGAAATATTTCACAAGATTAAATAAGATACAAAAACATGTTTTCTCTGCAGACAATTTTTTTTAAACAAATTTATATGTTTGACCTCATATGGAACAAATTTAAATATGAGGGCAACCATGATCTGGATAATACAATCCAAATAGTTTTTGCAGGATAATGGTTTAAAATTTTAGACCCTTAGTTATACTGCTTAAATTTTGGGCCTTTTTTTTGACTGCTGATCAAAAGTGGTGTTTTAAAATTTTCCATTTTTCAAGAACTATTTGTCAGATTTAATTTAAATTTTGAATATTGTCAATTAAAATTAAATTGTAAAAAATTTTGTAAAATATTAATTCTTATTTTGAAATTTTTTCCCTGCAATTATCTTTGGATAAATCAGTTTTATAGTTATGTAACAAAATCATTTAATTGTCTTAATGGAAAAATAGAGAGATGATGTATGTAAAAAGTGAAATTAGTATTAAAGGCCATACGGCCTCTCTCCCGCTTTAACTATCGGAACTATATATTATTGGTTACTACTGCCATATTTTAGGGTCTAGAATGTTTGTTGTTTGTTCAAAAAAAGTATGTTTTTGTGTCGGATTTCAAAACTTAAATATTTTTGCCGAATTTTTTCAAACTTACTTTCAGTTTTTTTTCGCAAATCATAGGAATTGCTTCTTAGTACAAATATATATATATATATATATATATAATTTTTTTTTTTTTTCATTGTACACTAAAGCTTTATGATTTATTTATTAGTGGGAGTTATTTCAAAACACCCTTACAGTAATTAATAAATTCTTACCCTATATTTTGTTTACATTTTTTTCATATTGTGTTGTGCATTACTTTGCCTAAATTTGTAAAGGTTCTTAACACATTTCACTGTCAAATACTTTGTTGATAGACTGATCAGTATACAAAGAATTCTGTGCTTCAAGATCAATACAATTTATTTTGTAACTAATCTTTGATGTGTTGTTTCCCTATTATATTGACTATTTAATTCTGTTATTAAGTTAAGTGTCCAAAATTGACAGTAAATACTTTTTTGGTAAACTATTCCATCACCCAAAGAATTGAGTACTTTGTGGTTAAGAAAGTTTGAAATAGAAGAATTGAGAAAAACCCAAAAGAATTGAGAAATCACCAAAAACATTTTTTAGAAAACATTTCTTCTCAGAGGACTCGAATATTGACTTATTGGGAATATTTCTTGTAGAATATTATTTTGACAATATTTCAATGGGTGGACAATTTATTATGATACAATAATAAATATTTTGAATATTACATTTCATGCACTATCATTCTTGTTGTTGGCTCTAAAATTTGAAATCACATTTTTTGTTAGCTTAAAGTATTTTTTTTAAAGGAAATTTATTTTAATTTATATCGCAGTTTATTGTTTATTTGCTGAGTGCTAATGTTTTTAAAAAATGTGTTAAATCAATTTTTATTAAAAAAAAATTATGTTTCAAAATGCCTGTTATTAAATTATTCATTGGTAGATGATTTGAATGAATAAGTAGTAAGAAATGAATCTGTGTTAACAGAAAAACCATAAAACTAGCCATAAATTATTTTATATTAAGTTAAATTAACAATGCCAAAATATATATATATTTAATTATATAAAGATAATAATGTTAAATATGTTTATCTTAGGTTGATTTTGCTAGTCGAGAGTGCCAGACTACATTTTTTGATAAGCTAGAGATGTCTGGTCAGTTAATCCCTGGTGATGGTACTCGACCCTGGGAAAGACGTGAAAGAAGAGGACCTGAATTTGAAGTTCTAAGAAATGATGAAAGGTAAAGAATTTTTTTGTATATTAATTTTTTACTGTCATTAATTTTTGATGCATTTTTTTCTTTCTTTATGAATTAGTGAAATAAGACTATTAGGCTGTGGGTCGAATGCTCAATATCGTTAATAAAAAGGATACTTTGTTCTAATCATGAGGGAGGAAAGGTTAAAGCTTATTAAAACAATCATATTTCTTCAGTACAATACGAATTAATAAATTTCTTATCACATATGTTGTACGTTAGTCTGTGTTTATTGAAAAACTGCTGCACTCTTTTTATTTTATTTTTTAAATGACCTTTTTTCCATGTGCTGCAGCTGGCTCAAGTCTTGTCCAATCAAATTATAGAAATCTTTGTTTACATATACGTAAGTCTGTGTCTGAAGGATTTATTTTTTTAAATCTAATTTAGAGCTTTTCACTCTTTTAAGGGAGGGAAATAATTGTTTGAAATAATAAAAATATCTGAAAAATATTGTATTTACTATGTCTGTCAGTGTTATTTTGCCAGTAATTTAGAAGGATAAAAAATATAATGTAATTAAACATCAGATTAAAGTCATTATTGACGTGTGTTGTTAGAGAGCACCAAATATTCACTCATATGTTCTCATATTTAAATGTTATAGAATTTTTACTTTAAGATTATGTGGCTTAGAGTGCAGAGAATTTATTTATTTATTTTTTTGTGAAATTTACTATTATTTAAATTATTGTTCTTCGTATCTACAGATAAAATACTTGAAAAAATTGGTAGAAAAAGGTTTTTTTTTTCAATCAATTTGATGTTTAACGGAATAGGAAAAATTTATAATGTTTTTAAACAAATTTATGATCTTAGTAATTTCATAAAATTTTTTGTTAATTTTATAGTTTTTTTTACTACCCTAATTGCTTTACTATAAATAATAAAATCTACTATATAAACTATAACATAAGAACCATAAAATTATATTGAATTCCGAATAGTATGAAGATGAAATTTAGTTCCTTCTAAATCTTAAGAAATTTAGTTCCTTCTAAATCATTAACTGTTTTATTAAGAGCTTACGATCATAGTTAGAATGTTCTGTTGAGGTACCATAAGTGACAACTGAGACTTTATTAATTTTTTCCCAACTATTGACATAACAGTTTAAAAGCAACTATATATTAAGAAAATAAATTATAACATTAAATTATTTTTAAAGTTACAAATGTGTGTATATATATTGTTCTTTTTTAATTAAGTGGCTCTAAATGTTTCATCAGCATCTTCATTGTCAGTGGAGCTCTGTTCACATAAATTAATTATTGTTAAAGCTGATGTCAGACAAACAACTAATTCACTAATATTCTTTGATTTTTGTTTGACAAAATCAATTTGAGGGCATGTTTTTTAAATTTTTTTCTTTAAAGTATCATTCCTGAGATCTTTCATTTCAATACCTTCAATTTCCTTTACAGTTCTGATAAATTTTTCTTTTATTTTGTTCATATTGTATACTTTGTGTTTCTTAATGATTTTTTCCTCCAAAATACACTTTTTAAACACCCCAAAAGATTTTTATATAGTTCTGCAGTTTCAGAGGAAACTTTTTTTTACAGTCAGAAGTTTAGTATAATTTTTATAACAAGACCTATGGTAGCAAACTTCAATTGCCACCATATCTTTGTCACGCATTTGCAAAAGTTATTTCTCATCCTTTTTTTGAAATAGCAGCACACAGCAATTGATTTTTTTGAGTTTCACACTTACTTAATGCTTCTTTTTTCCGCTTGCCAGAATGACGTTCTTTTGTGTATTTTTCAGTATAACGCAAAATACATATTTCAGGTAAAACATTTTAACGTTCACGATTAATAAATTTTTCATTGTGACTTAGAACTATTATTTTGTTTTCCATCATTTAAAATAGAGCATAGCAGTAATAAAAAATATTGAAACATTTTATGTAAAAACGATCTATTAAGAATTAAAGAACGATCTATTAAGAATTAAAGAATGATCTATTAAGAATTTAAGTTTTAAAGAACATATATGACAAATATAGGAGAGCCAAAACATTTGATGGAGGCATTTAACATGTTTGTTTACAAACACAAAAATGAAGCAACCAAGATTTTTAAGCTAGACTCTATTTGATTTGTTAGCTGTCAGAGGTATGTTATGAAACCTGCGTTTTTATTGGTTCATAACTGGCGAAAGGAAATAATGCTGATAAAAATTATTTCATACTTTTTTAAGAACATACAAAATAATGTGCAATTATTGAACTTTAAATTTTGCGTAATGAAATACTATGAAACATATTTTTTTATTGAAATAAAAATTAAGATTGCCCTTTTTTCTTCGGAACAAACTAATGATTAATGCCTTTGGCCCACGGTCTATATGTGCATGTTAACATTTGAGTATGTTTATGTTTGTTTACACTTGAAGATTTTGTTAAATTCATGAAATTTAATATACAACTTTACGAAAAAGTAATGTTTATTTAAAGACATGAAATTGTTTTTTATCCGTACTTGCTAAGTTTAATTTCATAATTTGCTGCTTTGGTTTCTTAATATATTTACTAATAAATTTTTTTTTCTTCTTTTAGTAGCTTAAGTAACTATTTATGTAACAATCAATGTGTAAACTTCCATGTTATAGAATTTGCTTTTATTTCATTCGTACAATTGGTTACATAATGTAAAAATACCTGAAAACTTATGGGTATCCATTCGTGCAGTTAGAAATAAAAACTGAGTTATGAAATTTATTAAAACTATTATATGATTCTGATGAGTTATTACATCTCTGATTTTACCAGACTCATTAGTTATTTATTATTTTGAATTATTAAATATGTATTTTAGATAAGGTTTAAGGTTTTCAATAATTAATATCATTTTCATATTTAATTTTTTTATAGTTGTTAATTGAATCCAAGTAACAATATTTATGATCTTCATTTTAAATAGGGAGCCGCGTGTTGGATTTGATGGCCGTCCTTATCCTAGATATGATGGACAACCTAGGCCACCTAGAGGAAACTTCAGAGGTGGACAACGTTCTGGGTTTGCATCAAGAGGTAGAGGTCAAGGATTTTCTGCAAGATATGAAGTGTATCACGATGAATTTGGAGAAAGACGGCACCGGTAAGTTTTACAATTTATCTTATTAATATTACCTCCTATACAGTTTATGTGAATGGTGTTTTGAATTAATACAGAAACAATCAGTCTGATGAAAAAATTATCTATTTTCTAGTTCCAGAACAAAAATTAATTATAGCTACCAATATCCTGGTGTTAAAAGTGTTTTTATTTTTAAAATCAAATCTGTAAGAGAAGGGTATTAATTTAAAGTTTCTATAATTGCTAAGATATAAGATAAGCAGGGTTCAAAATTAATCTAGGGTCCATTTTTTAGGAACCTCTAAAATTTGACTAAAATTGCTGTAAAATAATTGGTAGACCCTTAGACCAGCAATTAATAGAAATGGATAGTATGTTGTTTTGTTTTTTACATGTGTGTTTTTGTCAGAAAAATAGTACATTTCATCATAAATATCAACACACCATCTTTATACAGTAATTTTCATTTAAATTCACTTAACTAAAAAAAAATTAGAATAGAACCTGTAAAAATGTGCACAGACTAGAAATATTTTTTAGTACTAGTCCTTTGTACCAGTGGAGCAAGCAATACAACTCAAGCAATACAACTATGAGCAAGCAATACAACTCAATAGAGTAGATAGATATGAAAACTTAAAACTAATCATGATGATTTAATAACACCCTCTATCAGTGAAAACATGGGTATTAGTTTGTTGTTGAATTCTTAATGAAATAATTTTGTAAATTAAATTTCATTTACTTCTAAATGTATAATTTTAAAAAGCTTCAATTGTTTTCTGTGAAAGACTTTGAAAGTATACAAGTGAATAAAATTAAACTAGTAAATTAAAAATTAATGAAATACTTAGATTTAAAGTATTTTAGGGGCTTCATGATTGGCTATGATTTCAAATGTCTTTGTCGGAAAAAAAATTGACATGATAAAAATTATATTTTATTATCAATAATACATGAGTTTTTGACCCTCTTTAGAGAATATAAAGAGGGTGAGAAAATGCATGACACTTAATCAGTCTAGTTTATTAGACAATTAAGTCTATTGTCATTCATATAAATAGTGCTATACTGAACTCCTAAATGTGTTGTAACTCAAATAACGTGTGTTCATATCACTAGTCCTACATAACAACCCCATAGCAGAATCGTGGCGACATTGCCACAATGTTGCAGTGTTCTTGCAGAAGGATTTTTCATTTGTAAAATAAAAAAATTTGTTTTTCTTTTCTGCAGAAATTTTTGAAAGATTTTATCTTTTCTTCAGAATTATATTCAAAAGATGCCTTTCTCGGGAGTGGGGAAAAAATACTTGTGATTTTTCTATTCTCATTTGAGAATTATGAAAAATAAAGAATAATGAAGTAAAAATTTTGGTTTTATTTTCTGTAGAAATTTTCATTATATTTTTTCATGCAGTTATTACTACTTCCCACATAGCTATACATGGCTTTTAATATCCGATATTATTTATTACAAAAACTGAATCTAGAAATGAAAACGTGCATTTAGTAACCACTTTTTGAAGAGTTTTTTTAATGTAATGATAAATTAAAAAATGCGAAGAAAGGAAATAATTAGTGTGTTATCTGAAAAGGAAATAATTAGTGTGTTATCTTTCTACAAAATGTCAGAATATCGCCCATAATATTGAATAAAAAAGACATCACATTCAATTAAAAGTTTTTTTTTATTTGATCAAATTTTTTATTTATTTAATTTATTTATTTATTATTATTGAAGTTAACGCTTCTATTACTTTAAATTAGTAATATGTATATTTGTTATTTTTAAAAGTATCTTCCAGAAAGATATTAGTAATAGAGAGGTATGTGGCATCGAAAAAATTCTGCCAAAGGGCATGGCAAAGTATTCATTTTACATTAATTATGCCATTTTTCAAGTTAGAAATTTTGAGTAAGAGTGATTTATTTTTTCTTCAATATTGTTGCTGTTATTGATTCGGATCTTCTTACCATATGCAGTTTTTAACTTGAAGATATTAGGCAATGTATTCTAATTTTTTTTTTTATTACAGGTACAATTCTCGTGAAGAAAATGTTCCTGAAGTAACTATGTTTGATGGCAAGATTGAACGTCCAAAATATGTTGAAACAAATGACTGTTTAAATCGCAAGCGTAACAAGTTGCGTAACAGTGTGAGTGATCAAGAGAGTCACCACAGTCAATCTCCACCTCGCTCTTGTCATCAAAGCAGGAGCACCAGTCCAGTTTCTAAGGAAAGAAAGACTTTAAAAGACAGATTGCACCACAGAATTAAGAGTCCAGGCAGTCATAATTCCTCCCTTGTAAATAGCCCTTGTAGAGATGCTGCCCTTGATGAAGTGGAAACTAGCTCAGACTATAGAGACTCTCGATGTAAAAGTGATATTAAGATGGATGACTCTTTGGCGGACTTATCTTTCTCATCACCTCGGAGTAGCTCTGAAAAAGAATGTTCCGATAAAATTCTTTCCAAAGTTGATTGTGATTCTCTTCGTTCACGCTCTTCCCTAGATGGTGATAGTGCAGACGAATTTGGAATAACAAATGACCAACTTGGACAAATTGAAAGGAAGAAGCGTCTTTTGGCGTCTTCCAATTTCAAGAGTGGTAAAGATCTCAGTTTGCTTGTTTCCAAATCACTTATGGAAAAAGTAAAAAACAAAACACCTAATAGTCACTTGAATTCAGTGAAGTCATCTAAGCTGAATTGTGTATCTGATGTTTTAACTGATGACAGTAAATGTGATTCTGATGATTTTAACATCCAAAATGACTGTTCAAAGGAAAAACTTCTTCTAAATGATTGTATGAAAAAATCCTCAGACATGATGAGCCTTTTTGAACAGGTTAGTGCTCACCTAGAACCCAGTGACTTTGAGATTTTTGTTAGTGGTGATCGGCTGAGCAGGCGGAAACATCGGTCGCCCTCTAGCTGTTCTGAAACAAACACTTGTTATGAAAGTGATGTTAAACTTTTAACCAAAGAAGATTCTGTTAAATTGTGCAAAAGTGGGATCAAAGACTCTGCAATATTTAATAAAACAAAGTCTAAAATGGACATTTCTGATGATAACAACTGTGTTTCCAATTCATTGGATTCTTTTGTGTTTCGAAAACATTTAGATCCTAGAAAAGGATTTGATTCACAATCTGTTAACAATTCACAAAAATATCGCAGAATTTCTGTGGATAGTGACTCTTGTCTTCCAAATGCACAGGCAGCCAGTGATTCTTTTTTATGCGCAAATTCAACATCTGATGTATCTTGGAAAAAGCAGTGTAACTCCCTAACAAATCTTCACTTTTCTGAAAGTGATGTTCCATTTTCACATTCTAAAACAAAAGAGGAGATAGCTTCTGATGAAGAAGCATTGAACAATAAAAAATATCATCTTCATAATTCTTCACCAATGTATTCACCTAAAACATTCTTATCAATACGGACGTTTTCTGATGGTGCCCACTGCAACGATGTAAAGAGAGAGAGGGATATAAGTCCCTTATCTCTACCATTACCTAAATTTGCTGCATCCCTCCGTTCCCCTAAAGCTTCTCCAAATGTTCTTACATCTCCTAAAACAAATTCAGCTCATAGTCCAAGAGCTGGATTTTCTCCCAGTTCAGCATCTAACAAAAATCACCGTTATAGTGAATTTATGCCTGATGTTCCAACTGAAAAGAAAGTGAAATGTTTAGTACCTGATGACAAAGCTAGCATTGTCGCAGTTTCGTTAATGGATTCGGTGCAGTCTCTTGATTCACATACAATCAATGAATCAACAGAAACTGGACCCAACCTGGAATCCATTCAGTCTCCCAAAAATAACTCAGAAAAACTCAAAGAGCTTAATTGCTCTTCAGAATCGGACTTATCACCATCTTCTTCTCCAAGCCGTCCATCTATCGAAGATAGAATAAAAGCATTAGATGAAAAGTTTAATGCGTGGTCTGGAACAACAAGACCTACACCTACATCAGCACCAGATACCTCACCTAGTACTTTAGTTGACATTCCACACTGTGCAGTTAAACGGTCTAGATTTAATAGTTTGACTGATGTAGTACCTGAGCCATCAGATATTATGAAAACTCTTTTAGCTAGACCAACTATAGTAGACCAAGATTGTAAACGTCTGCAACACATTGATGAAAAATATGAACCTTTAAACATTAAAGTGGACACTATGCCAAAAATAAAACCTACTTTTCGAACAAAAGCTGCTGCCAAGGAATTTTCAACGCCAATTATTCCGCCTATTCAAAATTTCAATCCAACACCTTTGGTGAAAAATGTTACATCAGTACTAGTCGCACAAGGAATTATGTCACCGCCTAACACACCAATGGGAAGTGCTGGGAGCATTTTGTCTCCAGTAACACCTCCAATTCAACAATATAACAGTCAAATAACACCACCAGTATATACACCTTGTTCTCCTTGTTCATCTTTTAGTTTGTCTGCTACTACAAATAAAATTATTGATGGTTTTAATTCTAATTTTGACAAGGACTTATGTGATAACCCTCTGAAGTCAACTAGTGTTATAAATTCTGCCAAGGCTAAAACAGATCCAAACTTTCATACCAATTCTACAATGCTAGCCACTTCTTTAAAAAGTCCTTTACATTGTCCTATGGAATTACCTGCTCATTCTATGGTTTTAAACTCTCCTCCTAATATTAAGAAGGAGCCAGCATCTCCCACTGATAGTGTAACAGAGGCTGTATGTAAAATAGATTCAGATATTAAATGTTCAATTAAGAAGGAACCTGTTATGAAGCCAGCTAACATTCCCCCAACTCGAAGAGATAGTACAACAAAAGAACATTCAAATTTCATTTCAATAGATCACGATAAAAAAGACTTTTGTGATGTTAAAGATCCCCGCTTATCATATCATGAAGGTGCTGCTCAATGGAGAGAAGTTGGTTGCAAAAATGACATTAAACCTAATATTGACTCTTGTGCCAAATCTTTTGTTACGAATTCTGAATCTGATAACAATGTCAAACCTGTATACTCTGCTGTAAAGAAAAGGGTTTCTTCTATAGATAGTAATGAATCTGAATCCAGTAAATCAGTAAAGTCATTGGAATCCAGCAGAGATAGTCATGATATCAGTTGGACTAAACAGGAAAAGAATCCTGAACCTGAACCTAAGAAACTAAAACTATGTAAAAGTGTTAGAGAACGTTCAGCATCTCCTCCTGTATTGCATGTAAGTTCAAAAAAGAATGAAAAGAAAGAAAAGTGCTCTAAAAGCGATAAAAATAAATCATCATCTTCCTCTAAATCCAATTCAAACAGTTGTGATAAATCTAAATCTGATTCTAAATATAGTAATAAATGTGACATTAAAGACAAATCTAAATCAGAGCACAGGTTAAAAGAAGAAAAACGTTCTAAATCAAAAGATTCCAAAGAATCAGTATCAAAAAATGAAACTAGAGACTCGAAAGATAGTAATCCCAAAAGTGAATCTAGAACAAAATCTAAAGAAAGACGAAATTCAGATAAAGATAATAAAAATACATCTTCAAATAATATTGCTGGTAAACCAAAAAAGGAGTCCTCTTCTAATAAAATGGAAAAGAAAAGTAATGAAAAATCCAGTGAAAAAACAACTGATAAAATGAGTGATAAAACCAGTGAGAAAAATTCAGGAGAGAAAAAATCCTCTAAATCTAAGAAACTGGAAAAACAGTTAGAATTTGATTGGGCTGCCTGGATGGACGATGAACCTGTCTATTTTTCTATGTATGATAAAGTGAAAGCTCGTTCTAGTAAATCTAGAACTGAAACATTGAAACAAACTAATGATTTGGAAAGTGTTAGACAGAAGTTCAATAAACTTAAACAAAGACGTGCAAAACGTGAGGAAAAAAGCAAATCCATTGAAGATAGTGACAAAGATTCAGATTCTGTTAGCCATCACTCTAGTGATTCTGACTCTCAAACAAGGTCTACTAAGATGAAGCAACCTCGTAAGCGTAAATTAGTTATAGAAAGTTCCTCTGATGATGATGCACACCATAGTTCAAACAACAGAGTTAGTAAGATGGAAAAAGATTTTAGTGACTCAGCTACTGATTCTGAATTTGAATACAACGTTTCTCAGAGGCAATCTATTCCTCACAAATCTCGAAAAAAGAAGGCTGAAATACTTAACACTGATACTTCAGACTCGGAATCAAATTTCAATGAAAAGTCACACTCAATCACGAAGAAAAAGTCCTCTCAGAGCCGAAATAAATCTCGTTCTGAGAAGTCTAAGAAATTTATTAAATCAGAAGATGATCAGTCTGAATCAGATAGTCATAGTAAGCACAAAGAAAAGGAAAGTAAACCAAAGAAAGTGAGGAAAGATAAAATTCCTGAAATAAAGCAAGAAATTGAAACTGATCATGAATCTCTGAAGAAAGAAGATGGTGGTAAAAGTCATAAAAAGAAAAGTTTAAAAGAACACAAGCAAGAACCTGAACTTCCATCACAGAAGAAAATAAAATCCGAGCATCAAACTAAAGACAAAATACCTTCTTCAAAAGAAAGAAAATCCGATGGTTTTGTTGAAAAAATGCAAATTGATGATGCTGATAAACATAAACCTTACACCAAGAAAAGAAAGAAGTCTAAGAAAATGTCCAAGAATAAAGAAAAAAGAAATACTGCTGAAAAATCTTTTCTTCAAGACTCTTCTAGGAGACAGGAAGAAAATGACTCTAAATTGCCTGTTCTTTTATCACCTAAGCCCACTAATAATCCTCTAGCTGATAAACAACTTTCTCCTCCATGTTTGCAAGCTGGAATTTTATCCGATAATGATTTTAAATCTGATTTTTCAGACTTTGATTTTGAAACTCAACCGACTGAAGATATGGACATTAACACGGAAGACTTATGGAAACAGTTAGAGGGCAAATCAGACTCAAACTCAGAAAAATCTTCAAAAAGTAAGAAAAAAGATGCTACTTCAAAATCTCAATCATCTATACAATCTCCTGAGCATGATAGCAGCCTGCCTTCCTTTTTTGATAAGCTTTCGGACATTACTGATTCTGAACCAGGGAGAGATCCTAATGACTGTGTTAGCGATATACCGAGTGATAGTTCAAAACACCATTCATTTCCTGTAAAGAAGGAAAAGGAAACTGTCACGTCTCCACACAAAGTAAAACAAGAAAAGAATCAGAAAGAAATTGCAATTAATGATTATGCTAAACATTCTGATACTCATAATTCATCTAAGGAAGAAAAGCGAAGAAAGAAATCAAAGAAACAAGGAAAAGAACGCAAAAAGAAATCTCAGGAAAAAATTAGAGAAGAAATGCCCGTTCCGGTTGATGTCCAACGATGTTCAACGCCTGCACTTTCTCCTAAAACCTCATTTAACACTCTTCCACTTGATGATGACAGTAGACTTTCTGATTTACGAATAGATGAAGAAATTGCAGAGGAAGCTAGGCGTCTTGAGCAGGAGCTTTTAACTGTATCTGAGGAAAATAGTACTTTTGGCGATGATTGTTCAACTAAAAGAGAAGAAAAACAGTTGGAAAGGCGATTTGAAGAAGAAGCAGCTAAGGAAACACGTAGGCTTGAAGAAGAGTTATTTTCTACTGGTCGAGATTCTTGGCATATGAAAGAAAAGGATTATGATTCTGAAGTAGCCTCTGGAGATCTAGGTGAAGATAAGATTGCAACTGAAATTGATCCCCTAAATGGAAAAGAAGAGAATATATTTACGGGATTAGATTTGCATTCCTCCATTCCAGAACCTTCTCAAAGTGAAGTTGATGCTTTTTTATCCGGTCAGTCTGAAACTGACCCTTACAAAATTGATGACAAAGATATGTCTAATGATATTGAAGATCAAAGAAAAATAGAAGATGATTTGGCAGTTTCTGCTTTATTGCAAGAAATGCATTGTGGAGAAATATCTGCTCCTGAATTAACAAAGGAAACAGATTATCTTGATCCCCTTTTAGAAACTCATCCTGAAGATACAATGAGTTACTTGCTTCCTGATGATAGTGAAAATTCTCTTCATATAGCTGATGGTTCTCCAGATAATCCTGACAATGAAATTCAAGAGGAAAAAATAGAAGAATCTTCTGTTATGTTACTTTCTCCTTCTTCAAATTCAGAGCCTCCTGCATTAGAAATTTCTAATATCGAAGATTCTGAAACTGTAAAAATAGATTCCATCCCTGAAAATACTATGCCTGGACCAGTAAAACTAGAATCTGTTGCTGCTACTAATGGTGTTAATTGTGATGTAAAAAATTCATCTTGTTTTGAATTTCATGATGAGAACAGTTTGGGAATTAGTGAAAATAAACCACCTGTTATTGATATTCCTGTCATTCCAGATACTATGGAACCTTGCAATGATTTTGTTTCTCCGAAGCTGGATAAAAGTAAGGCGCAAAAAGGAAAAGATCATGAGAAACCTATCTATACACCTGAAAAAACTAACTCTGGTATTAATAATGATGAAACAGCTTTAACTGAAAACCAACTGACACATTTCGAAGATATCACAATGGACACCACTGACAGCAAAGATGATGATAATCCTCCTGTTCTTCTCCCTGTTGAATCTCCTCCTAATCTTTTGCCTGTTGTTGAACCCAAAGATAAAATAGATCCTTTTTCAAGAATTGATGTTCCTGAAAATCCTACATTCGACAATGTGCCCAGTAAAGCAGAAGCAGTTGTATTAGACCTTGTAAAAGACTTAGATGACATGTTTGATTCAAAAATTGAAACTAGTATTTCAAGGTTTTCAGATAGTCATGAAAAAACCATGTCCCAAAGCAGCATATCACTTATGTCTGAACAAAATAGAAATGATCCATTAAGACTTAACACTTCAGATATTTTTGAGAACTTCAAATCATCACATTTGCCATCATCTCCTCATTTTGATTCTTCTCCCTTGCTAAAACCAGTTAATAAAAGTTATACTAATCCTATATCATCATCTAGTAGCTTTGTGGATCAAATAAATCTTGATAAGTACAGTTTCGCAGAATCTGCCATTTCTAAAAATCCACCTCTTTTAAAATATTCCGACATTTTGAACTCTAGCTGCGAAACTAGTGTAATACAATCTGCTCCTAAAATTGAAAATAGTGACATTCTATCAATTTCTGATAAAAGCAACCTCTCTAATTGTGACATATTTGCTCAAAGCCAAGAAATCAGTGATTCAACTGAAGGGAATCAAAGCAATTCTGATAATTTTCTTCTTGAATTGTTTCCCTCTAAATCTGACGAAAGTAATCATAAAGAAGAGAAATCAAAAAGTGGAGATGGGTTCTATTTTAACTCAGAAAGTAAGAATAACTTGCCAGGTATCGATAAACCCTCATTAGATCTGAATCAGTCGGATAGTATTGTTTCATCCTTTGAAATTCCTGAAGTGAATGAACAAAATGAAGCTACAGAATTCAACCAGGATATTTTCGAACCGTCTTCTAATGATGCTAAAGATTCAAAAATACCTCAATTATTAAGTTTCAGCTCAGAACAACTGTTTACTGATAATTTTGGTAGTAAATCTCCAGTTAATAATTCATCTGAAGAAACAGTCAAAAATTTCACTTGCAACACAGATATTTTGCAACAATCTAATCCTGTGGATAAACCAGACATTGCAGAAGATGAAACATCTACTTCAGTTGGTATTGAAGATATTTCTAATAAAATTGAGTCATTTAAACCTGAAGACAACAGTTCAGTTAAAACTTTTGAAAATTTAAGTCTCACAATAGACGATGTGTTTTCATCGAGACCTACTGATGCTGATTCTGTGTGCAGTGATACAACTGATATAACAATTCCTGATACAAAGATGGAGACTGATGGAAATCTAATAGCAGCAACTAACAAAGATCACAATGAAACACCTCAGGCAGAACCTGTTCAGGAAGAGGCTGCAATTCAAGAAGATGCCCTTCCAGATCCTCAAGTAACTGATGAAGCTCTTGAAGCAGATACTAAAGTGGAGCGACCTAGAAGAGGACGAAGACCTAAAACCAGAAAGTATGTTGAAGCATTGTCTCAAAAACAAGGAAGCTCACAAGACACACCAAATGCTCCCCAAAGTAGAAGTTCGAGTCGCCGTGCTCGTCCAACATCATCTGAAAGAGTTAGGCGTTCATTGAGAAGTGATACATCTGAAGTTGTTCCTTTAAGGGAATCTGGAAGAAAACATGTTCATGAGGAAGTTTCATTTTCTGAGAGTGAAGAAAACAAAAGAGATGATGAAACAGGTGATTCCTCAAATCTTATTCCAATCACCACTAGGGCAAATTCTCGAGAAGATGATAGAAATAAAAGTGAAGAGCCAAGAAGGAGAAGGGGAAGACGAAAGAAAATTTCTGGGGATCCTCCATCTGCACCACCTGTTAATAAAATTGAAACTAAATTGGATGACATCGAACCTTCAAAAGATTACAACCGCTCCAAAGAATCTCGATTTAGGCTTTCTTTGTCATCTGAAAAGGAACATAAAGCATCAAAGGATAATTCTAATACCATAGATGTTTATGACTTTTGTGATGATGAAGATGAGGGAGAAATCAATTCATTTAAAGACATAAAGGATAGACTTCATGATACATCTAGAAATACTTCATCCATAGAAATTAAGCCATCTGAAGCATTATCTTCTGATAAGGATAGGAAAAATAAAGAGCAAAAGCATGAAAAATTAGCTGAAATTGCCATAGAAAAAGATAAAAAAGTGAAAGAAATAAAACATGAAAAATCATTAGAGTATACCAATGAGAAAGAAAAGAAGAAAGAATTAAAACATGAAAAGTTGTTTGAGGGTGTACCAGAAAAAGAAAGGAAAGTGAAAGATCAGAAATATGAGAAATTATTAGATAATATTGAAAAGGAAAAGAAAGCTGAAGAGTGCAAAAAACCTGTTCTGGCTGATGAACGAGATACAGCTATTAAAGAACATCATCCTGAGCATCCTAAAATATCTATGACCATCAGATTGAATAAAAAAGATGGTAATGATGGTACCTCCCCATGCATTGCTGAAGTTGTTAAAACATCTGAAGCTCTGAATATTGATGAGCCAAAAACAGAGCCATCTAAAGTAGAAAAACAAACACCTTTAAAACAAGAATCCCAAGCATCTGAGACTGCATATAGTGGACCTTGCAAATCTACTCGAAAATCTACTAGGCTAATGAACCAAGGTCGATCAGCTTCAGATCCTAGATCTACAGTTGATGTTGTTATTGATGAAGTTGTTAAAAATCATGCTGAACCAATGCAGACTAGGTCATCACGTCGCTCAAAAGCCAGTAGGCGAAGTGAAGAAAGTTCACAATTAGTTTCTTCAGAAAATTCCAATGATACAACAGATGATAAAAATAAGAATGAACCAGTATTTTTCATACATGATAACGCTGTTAAAGATCTCCCAGAAGACAAAAAAGTAATTTCCTCACACTCAGTCGAGTCACCTTCTGCATCTGAGATATCAACATCTGCAGCTGATAAAATTCCAAATCGTATTACCAATTTAAGATCATTTAGAATGGCTCGGCTAGCTGCTTCTAAGTTGGAGGCTACAAAAGAAACCAATCTTGGTGTTTCAAGTGAACAAGAGTCATGCAAGAAAGAAAAAATACGTAGAAGCTCTTTAGATGAAAGAATTGAAGCATCTCCACTGAAAGAACATAGAGAAAGTTTAGAACTACCGAAAGAATCAAAATCTTCTGTTGTCATTTGCCAGCCAGAATTAAAAATTGAAATAAATAGAATTAATTTAGATCTAACTAAGGAAAAAATTGTTAAAACTTTACCTGAAAAATTTTCTGACTGTAAGGAAGAAAGTAACTCAAATTCTGGTCCTACTGTATACCTTGATCCAGAAACTGGATTTTTAACCACTTCAGGCACTAATGAAGCTTATTCAGATGCATCATTAAATACCTCTCATGACAGTAAAAATAGTAGCAATATATTAGTTTCAGATATGTCCAGTATTCCTCTTTCAAAACACATCACTCTTGCTGAAACGCATGCTACACCATCAGTAATTCAAGAAAATTCCAAAACCAATTCAGTTAATGTGACTGAAAGCCTTCAGACTGGTAGATCATTACGTTCTCATCAATCACCATCTGCTCAAACATTGCCTATCTCAAATCCACTTGCATCAACTGATATAACTTCAAAAATTGTAAGCAGTAAAACTATTGAAACTAGGAAAGATAAAAGAACAAATGTTACTGTTGGTGGTCCATTACCTGTATCTAGTACTTTAGTAACAACCTCTGCACCACTTCTCACTAATTCCACACCTGAAGTAGTCAATACTGTTAATTTATCTAGTGCCATTCCTGAAAATAAACCCATTGCAATAGCAGCACATGTGCCAGCTATCAGCTCAGTGACTGAAAGTTCTGTTCCATCTCGTGTTAATTATGAAAACATTCAGCCCAAAATTCCTTCTCATCCTGTGCTCAATTATCAACCTTCTTCAAGAGAAATAACTGCAATTACATCTTCGAACGCTGGATATGTTACAACTATATCAACTACTGTACAAAATAAATGTTCTACGAGTACAACTGCTCCATCAGTAGTTCATACTAAAACAGAGGTAATTTTGATAATTTATATTTTAAATAATCATGCTTATTTTAATATCTGCTTATGCTGCTGTTAATCAGTAAATCTTATTAGATCAATATAAACAAACACAGAAAATCGAAGTTTGTAAGAAAATTTTATTAATAAACTAGATTGCAATTATTTTTTAAAAAATTATCAATTTCTGATATTTCTTTTGGAAAAAGAGTTTCTCCCATTTAGGTTGGAAGAAACTTACTCCCAGGGCAGTTTTTTTTTACTGCGAAAGAAAATTACCATCCCTAGTTTAAAGCCATATTTACATCAACGGATGAAAATTGTAAGGGTTTGAGAGACAGCATAACAACAGCTAAAGGTTAATTATTAAAATGTGTCACACATATTTAATCAAAGGTACTTAAATGGTATGAGTAACATGGCTAACCACTTAGATGAAGATGTCCCTTGTTAGACTTTCTAGAATTAATTTTGTACAATTTTTTAAAATATGAAAACTGGGCAAGTTTTTGGTATAATGTATATTTTTGATTTTTATGTCATTGAAATTGCTAATTTTATTAATTTGGTTCCAACTCTAGCTTCCTGTTACGTATACTTCTATGAAAAATTCACTTATTCCATTCAATGAACATACACCTGGTAGCAATTGCCAGCTTGTTTCATCAGGAATGCATATGTCTTCGGAACATTCCAGTGTTGTAGTGAAACAAGAATTACTAAATGAAACCCCTCCACCTCATGCTTCTCCTGTAGCCACATTAGCTTCATCATCTCACAATGCTCCTGTGACGTGGTCCAATTCAAAAACATCTTCGAGCAGGATAATGGATGCTCATGCTCATGTGAGCACAATCCAAGCTGGGAACATTAACAAAAATTCTGTTTATACTGGAAAACATGAAAGATCAGCTAAGATTCCACATAACAAAAATAGTTCAGCTTTCTCTGATTCTAACTTTCCTTTGTCTGCTTATGAAGGCATGGTAAGGGCTCTATTTATTTATTTTTTTCAAAAATAGTGAAAAGTTTTATGTGCTATTATTCGAATAAATCCAAATAGCAAGTAATCTCCGAGTAACCTAAGCTTTTTTTCTTAAAATTATCTGTTAAAACTGTACCAAATGTTATACTTCGATATGATTGCTGCTTCAGTTTTTTCTAAGTTAGTTGCTCTGAAAAGAAAGTTCAGGTAGTTTCTAAAAAAGAGTTAGTTGCTCAAAATTTTTTTTAAAAAAAAGTAAATGCTGCTGAAAATTTCCCTTCCCATTCCAGTCTTGCTTCAGTTAAGCTTAACTGTTCTTCAAACTGTTAAAGGTAAATATTTAGCTAAATTTACTACAAAAGAAACATTTTTCTGAAAACGGCACTACTTTTTTCTCTAAAATTAGTGGAGAAGTTGGAAACTTTAAATTTCGTGAGACTGATAGTTAATTTTATAAAAAATTGAAAACTTTCTCTTATTACAATTCCTGATAGAATAAAACTACTATTCTAAGTGTCATAAAAATTTTATAACTATCACTGATCTGCTTTTAAAATTCAAAATTGTTGTTTCAAAACCAATGTAAACTATTGGCTTTGAACAAGCATACAATGAAATTTTTTGTATGTAAATATGAAATTAATTCTTGGTCATATTAATTATATAATAATTCATTTAATTTTATTAATTAATGTAGGATTTTATTAATTAATGTAAGGATTGTAGTTTTAATCTTCTGAAAAAAGCTGTAAAGTTAATAAATAATATTTTTTATTTAAAAAAATTTTTTTAAGTAATTTTATGTTTAATTTTTTCTTAGCTTCCACTGGTTGCTGCATCTGGAAATACTGGAGGTGTTATTGCTGAACTTTTGCAAAATCCTCAATATCTTCAACAGCATAAAGATTATTTCACATCAGCTGGTCAACTTCAAGACAGGATTCAGGTGCCCATGGTACGTCCTTCAACTCCTGTTGCATCAAGCATTCCACCTGAGTTAGCTGCTCGTCTTGCACCAACACCTCCACACACACCAACCCCACCGGTTACATCTTCTAATCATTCCTTACAGTCATCTGAAATGTATTCATCTCACGTTAATTCTTCACTTCTCATAAGGCATCCTGGTCAATCTGCATTAATGGTACCACAGCATCCTGGTCTTACACTTCATCAATCAGAATACAATCCAATTTTTCATCAAATGATATATGCTGCGAATCATCCATATGCTGCCATTTCTGATCTCCGAGCCCAGCAGGAAGCAAGAGCTGCAATAAGTATGAATCCCCGTTTTCCTTACCCTATTAATCCTGCTGTTGCCAACAATTTCAAACAGCCATCTGATCCTAGGCACTCAATGCAAATGGATGCAAAATCTGAACAAAAATTAATAAATGACTTATCAAAAATAGTACATGAAGCCAGAGGTGCTGAAGAGAAATCTCAACACTCTGGTAAATCTGTTCGTAGTAAAAAAGACTATAATAGTTCAAAAGAAAAAGATGTCAAGGCTTTATTGGACAATAGAGACCATCATGAAAGTTCTCGCCATTTATCTTCTCATGATCAAAAAGGTCCGTCTACCTCTGCAATTGCACACAATTTAAGGCAACAGCAGAATGCTCATTTTTCCTCAGCCATTCATCAGTTAAGTCCTCGATTAAACGTGTCCCCGCATGACAGAATAAGTGATTCTCCTGTGATTGCCAATTTATATGCTGCTGGTCAAAGCAGAGTTCCACAGATCACCCTTGCTGGTCAAGTGGATGATCATAAATCAGATAATGTGGGAGCTTTATCATCTCACCATTATAAAAAGGAAGAAACTATTAAGCAGCCTCCAGTTGCTCATCAAGTACAGCCATCTACAAATCCATATGCATTAGAAGCTGTACATTCCAGGCAGCAAGTGTTGGGTGTTATGCAACTTGGTGCGGGCCACTTGGATAGTAGGACTCCTAATCCATCACATTCTCCCACCCCCCATGTGTACAAGAAAGATCCAAATCAGTCCCTTCAACTATCAATGCATAATGCCATTACAGACAAAAGGATTAATCCTGAGCATTCAAAGAAATTAGTTCATGCGAGAACATTAAGTCATCAAGGATCTTCTGTATCCCCAGGTCCTGCTGGTCTTGGTCCTGCTCGATCTCCCGTGCCATGGCCTGCAGTGATTCAGTCTCATAACACTCATCCTTCTCTAGCTCAATCACCTCATCACATGATTCCTACTGATCAGACATCACGCAGAGTCAATGCTCACCTACCACCCTCCGAAGTTGCGGCTCTTGTACCTCCACCGCCGGCTCATCAATCACCACCTAGAATATTAGATCAGATATTAAATGTAAGTATGCTATCCTTCTTCATAATTCTATATTTTTATATCTTATTACGTTATAGCATTTGTGAACGTGAATCTACAGTCAAAGTTTGAAGAGGCTTAATCTTTTGATGATTATTCCAGCTAAAAATAATTTCAAACCAGTGTTCCAACTTACTACTATTAATAATTTTCATTATTAAAATGACTTGGGGCTTTTAACTATTACATTCTTTTGCTTTGAACTCTAAAATAGCCTTTGTTATTCTATATTTTATAATATTATGATACAATACTTGTTTAACCATATTTTTGTTTTTAAAATTTGCTTAAATGATAGCATTAAAACCTGTTTGTAAATCAACTGTTAGAAAACATTTTGAAAAGCTGTTCAGGGTTTGGTGATAACTTAAACTAAAAACAATAATGTGTCTGCTATTTTAGGATTCTGTCTCTGAGAAATACATTCATTCACTCCTCTTGTCTGTGACAAGCTATTACTTGTTTTATCCACTGTGAGTCATCTCACCAATACATTTGTAACTTGCTCTTAGCAATTAAAAATATTTTTATCTTTATTTTAATAAAATTATTTAATATTTACAGGATGCGTAGGATTTTTTGAAGGTGCTTATTTTCGATTTTAGTTTTTAAAAGCCCTTTAAGGTGCTTTTAAAAGTTCATAATTTTTTCAAGCTTCATTTTCCACCCACTAAAATTGAACCAAAGAAAACTCTTAATTTTTGCTGATCAACAACAAGGACGAACTAACATTGCTGATTTTTTTTTCCATTTCCAGAAATTTCTTTTATTTCTTAATTTCATTGCTGGTGAAACACCATTGTATTCATTACACAGAGGCTAATGTTGCTCTCGGACTGTTCTATTTATAGATCTGTTCCATAATCCTTGAACTTGACTTGGGGATCATTCACTAAATACATATTTTCATGCAAGTCCAGAGCACTTAATCACAGAGCTTAATCATCTCAAATTTTTCAACTCCCTTTTATTCGGTTAATTTAACAAAGATAAGAATTGATTTTTAATTGCAGAGTTTTTTACCGAAGACAGTGTCATAAAATTTTTTTGAACTTTTTACTGTACATTATTGTTTTATTACTTGTTACTTTTGTCCTATTGTATTATTATTTTTTTAAGATTTTCATTGCTCTTAATTTTTTTTCTGAAAAAACTCAATAATATTTGGAGGGAAGATTTTTAAAAGAGTATGAAGTGAGGGGCTTTTCACTGTTTTAAGATTTAGCAAATGCAGTCAAAAATCTTATGCTATTCAGATTTACCATTCCAAAAGAAATTCAATTCATCTCTTAATTAACTTTAAAAAAATTAAGAAACAGCAATTGAATTGATTTAAAAACAATTGAAATATAAAATTCAATAGTCTCAGGGCTGTTTAATATCGTAAATGTATGGACCATATAATAATTAACTTCTGACAAAAATGTTTAGCTTCAATACTCATTGTATTTACATTTCAAAATGATTGAAAATTTTTTAATCGTTTTATTACAGAAATTAGTTACAAATTTTAATAAAAATTTAAAAGGAGCTGAATTAATTAGGATTTTCTTAATTTGCCTAATTCTTTATATCTCTTTTAGTACGATCAATATGATTATCAATTCAGTATGATCAATATTAATCTTGCTACTTTTTTTGTTGAATATACTTTAATAAATAACTTTTATTTAAATCTCAAAATGATTTACTTAAACGCGGAATAAAGAGAAGAAAAACTTCGTTTTTCAGTGTATACTGAGAAAATTATATCTTGTAACACTTCCCTTTTATGTGAGAATGAATTATTTAGAGCCAAGATGGTAGTGATACTATATCAAAACTAAAACTATAATTCATTTTTATGCAGCGCTATCCAGTTATGTGGCAAGGGCTACTATGTCTAAAAAATGATCAAGCAGCTGTTCAAATGCATTTTGTGTCAGGAAATATGGGAATTGCGACCGCTTCTCTACCACCTATAGTGGATAATGAAACATCTCCTGTAAGAGTTGCCCAACGCATGAGATTAGATCAACAACAGCTAGAAGGTGTTCAAAAGAAATTGCAGGTATGTTCTATGATATTTCCTATAACACACCTTTGTATATATATAACGTTTTTTGACAGAATTTTCTAGATTAAATTTTAAAATAACTCCCTCTTTCCAAAGAAAGTTCCACTTTTTCGCATTCCCGAGAAAAGTTTTTTTCTATGATTTTTGCTGGTTTTGCAAATATGATTTAAAACAAAATTCACACGATTAAAAATTACGCTTAGTGATTCGTATTCTTGGAGTTTACAATTACACAATATGAATCATATTTACAGGAATTAAAAATCAAACATTGAGATTCGTATTTACCAGGGTTGGGTTTTTGACGTCAAAAAGTGGTTTTTGACATGACAAGGGTATAATACTGGTTTAAACCGTCAAAAACCCGTCAAAAATGTCAAAAACTGAAGTTTGCCAAGAAAATATATAAACTTCAAAACTACCAACAGTTGCCATGCATTATATTGAAATTTAATTATACTATAGGTAATCAGCAGGTTTTAAAATATTTTTTAATTAAAATTAAGGTAAAATAACTTAAGTTTTACAAACATTATATAATAACCGATAATAAGGCAGAAAA